TCACCCAGGCTGGAGTGCAGTGGTATAATCTTGGCTCACTGCAACCTTTGCCTCCTGGGTTCAAGAGATTCTCCTACCTCAGCCGCCTGCGTAGCTGGGATTACAGATGAGTGCCACTATGCCCAGCTAATTTTTGTATTTTTAGTAGAAACATGGTTTCCCCATGTTGGCCAGGCTGGTCTTGATATCCTGACCTCATATGATCCACCCATCTTGACCTCCCATAGTGCTGGGATTACAGGCATGAGCTACTGTGCCTGTTGCTTAGGGGTTTTGAAGGATGAGTTTAACAGGCTCTGAGGGAGGCTGTAGTCAGAGAACAGCATGAGCAAAGGCATGTGGTCAAAAGGGGGTTTGCTGTATCTGGACATGATGTAATGTTCAGTGTGACAAATTAGAGGGGATTGAAAGGAATTTGTGGGAGGTTAGGTCCAGAGTTGGATTGGGCCACACTGTAAAGTGCATTGTTTGCCCACAGTTTGGATCTTATACTGTAAGCAGTGAGAAATTAACTGTTAAAGACTTTTAGGCAGAAGAATGATGAAACCATTTTATTTTATTTACTTTTCAGTAAATTAGTGTTGGTGGTATTGAATCGTATGTAAGAGATTGGTGCTAGGGAGATTAGTTCAGGAGCTCGTGTTACAGTCCTAGTGAGAAATGAAGAGGATATAGATTATAGCAATGGATTGGAATGAAGTTTCCTAGATGTTAATGGTAAGGTTGGATGATTCCATGCATATATATGGGGTGAGAGAAAAGAAATCAAGGATGACTTAGGTTATAGTTTGGTAGTGGAGTGGTAATAATCATTAACCAGAACTTTTGTATACAAATTATTGTTCATCATGTCATTCAAGGTTATATATTAACTTTATATATTAATTTAACTCTGCTAAATATACAAAAATCAGCCTGGCGTGGTGGGGGGCACCTGTATTCCCAGCTACTCAGGAGGCTGAGGCGGGAGAATTGCTTGAACTCGGGCAGCAGAGATTGCAGTGAGCCAAGATCGCACCACTATAGTCCAGCCTGGGCAAAAAGTCATATAATATATGACTATAATAAGAGAAACTCATTATATTATAGTCACATCTTGTTTTGGACTAAATTTGGTATAATTCAATTTGATCACATAGACTTGACTTTGAATAACTTTTATTTTTTCCCAGAAATCAAATTTATTTTCAGTAGATGATATTCTTGTTACCACTGAGGGTTTTAAAGAGAAAGTGATGCAAATTCTAAAGACCGTGGGGAGATCAGTGATAATATATTACATATATATGTGGTGTTTTTTGGTTTAGACAATGCTTTCCTGTATGTTTTCTTGTGCAGTACACTCAGCAACCAATAAGGTAGGTATTATCAGTCTCATTTTATAAATGAAAACGCTGAAGCTCAATGACTCACTGAAGTTATACAACTTATTCTGAGATTTTAGTCTTGATTTTTTACTTTCTAATGTTATTTTTACATTACCTTTGCTGTCCCAATCCAGAGAAGAGTTTCAAAAATGATTTGAGCAGTGATTACATTTTGGGGAGACATGTATAATGCATTTAGAAGGGAGCAACAATAACTAGACAATCTAAGTTCTGGTTTGTCAGTTAAAAATACAGAGTTCTGTATATAACTACTTTTGTCATATTTCAAATAAGGCTATGGCATTTGTACAGCTAGTTTCTGTGAGGGCCTTGTAGAAAGTTTACACTGATATTTGTCTGGGAAACAATAGCACTAGACAGAGAGGGCACGCCATAGATTCCAACCCACATCTGCAAACTCTTGCTGGGTAGCTGAGTGACTAGGCCTAGCCTGGTGTGAGGAATGCGTGCCCTGCAACTTCAGAGTCACAATTCAATTGATTGAAAGAGATTTGTTCCCACTTCTTTCTGGGAGCCTTGGGTATACAATGTCTGTATTCACCTCTTTCCTTCAAAGCTGTAAAGAGGGAAGAGCTGAAGAAGGAAGTGTTGGTTAGATTTTTTTTTCCTTCAAATAGTAGGCCCTTCTAGTGTACTAATCGGAAGCATACAGCTTTTGAAAAGTTTATGCATTTAATATCAATGGTGTGAGGGACATCATGAGCTTTTTCAGAGGATCATTAGATTTTTGTGAGATCTTGTATCCTCCTAGTGTCTTGCACATAGTGCATATGCAATAAACTTTTGTAGAATCATTGTATTTTTAAGTTTTAGTCTCAGAAATTCACTCTATTCACCTTCTTAAATGCTTTTGGAAAGATTTGATATAATGATGTGACTGAAGGGTATAATGGTCATGTGTTTTTCATAATACATGAACATCCCTTTTCTGAAAAGCTTGGGACCAGAAGTATTTAGGATTTTGGATTTTTTTCAGATTTTGGAATATTTGCATTATACTTACTGGTTGAGTATCACTAAGCTGAAATCCAAAATGCTCCAGTGTGCATTTCTTTTGAGCATCATGTCAAGCACTCAAAAAGTTTTGGGTTATGGAGGTTTCAGATTTTGAATTTTCTAGAGTAGGGGTGTAAAACCTGTATTGTGTAAACTTTGGATCAGTTAAATTCTCCTTAGATAGAGTGCCTGGGCATGTCTTAGTTTTTGACTTGAAAAGCAATTCTGGCACTGGTGTATACATTTCAAAAATAACAACTTTTAAGTAGAAGACTTTGTTTTTTTTTTTTGAGACGGAGTTTCTCTCTTGTTACCCAGGCTGGAGTGCAATGGCGCGATCTCGGCCCACCGCAACCTCCGCCTCCTGGGTTCAGGCAATTCTCCTGCCTCAGCCTCCTGAGTAGCTGGGACTACAGGCACGCGCCACCATGCCCAGCTAATGTTTTGTATTTT